AAAAAAAAAAAAGCGTGTGTTTGTGTGTGTTTGCACGTGCACACATGGGCGCACTTGTGTGGAGGCCAGCAGTTGACATCAGTTATTTTTCTTTATTCTCTACAAACTGGAACTTGTCTTTTTGGCTAGGTTAGCTGGTCATTAAGCTGCCAGGATCCTCTTGTTACCTCACTGCCCCTAGCATTATGGTTATAAGTGCTTCACTATGCCTGGCTTTTAAATGGATTTGGGGGATTCCAACTCGGGTCCTGTGTTTTGCACATAAAGCACTTTACTTTTTACCCATCTCCCCAGCTTCATAGATAACAATACATTTTGCAGATAAGGCCCACAAATACTAAATTTGAAGACAGCCAGGCCTCTGTGAGTTTGAGTCCAAACCTAGTCTACATAAGTGAGTTCCAGGCTAGTTAGGGCTACATAATGCGACCCTGTCAAAAGAAAAAGAAGAGAGAGAGAGAAAGTTTTAGGAGAAACAATATATCCATATGATCTCAAGTTATTTTTAAGCATGCACATGGCCCTGGGCTCCATCCCATCATCACCAAAAACACAGAAAGAAAAGTAAAACTCTTTTGGAGTGGGGTTGGTGGCTCACACCTACAATCCCAGCACCCTGGAGGCCAGGACAGTAGGTTTGAGACCAGCCTGAGCTATAATGTAAGCTCTGTCACAAACAAAAATCTTTAATCTATCCATTGTATAACCTGTTTATAAAGAACAGAGGTTATATAAATGTCTTTTGATACGACACTAAGTAAATTATGTAGACAAAAGAACGCTCTGAAACTGTGAAGATAATGCAGGGTATTAAGTGTAGTCGTGTGTTGCTCACCAAGAGGAAGCCCTGTTAGGTAATCTGTTTACACCTTTACACAAAACTAGGTGTTATAGCTGTAGAACAGCCAGGCTGTATAGTGGATGCCTTTGACTATATAGCCATCTCTAACCAAAATTCTGTATGTAGAGGATAACTGTATTGCAGTCTCATTTTTAACTGTTTTTGTGTACATGGGTGTGTATTTTTCTGTTACTCTTGGTAATTTCATACTATTATTTTTGTAAAATTCATTTTTTGAGAAAAGAATGAAACTTGGGAGGTTTAATATAAGTGGTTCAATAGGTAATTATTTAATATGTGTGAAATTATTCCTAAAACTGAAATAATTATATGCATGAGAATATGTGTTGTATTTTTGTTTGTAAATGTTTTGCTCAAGTAGAAATTTTACATACCTGTTGTATGCTTGGTTGTGTATAAAGTCATCTAAGCCTTTTCTAATAGAAAGAATAGAAAAAGGTGTGTTGTGGAACTCTTTGTAATTTGGTTTGTATCAAGTGGTATATTTGTTTAGTCCATTTTTCCTATAAATTTCAAATGACTGTATGCAAAAATATCTTTATCTTTTGGCAGGAAGTATAGGTGAGGTAACGTAAATTTCATGGCATCTCAAACTAAAGATTGGCTTAAAGTTATTCAGAACTTACCTGTGTTCCTTCAGCTAAAAGCAGAGTCTTTCCTGGCTTCAGGAACCTGTTTCAGTGAATGACGGTGTTAGTGCTGCCTGCCCCTTGCCAGTAGGTGATATTAATGGCAATAAAAACTAAGAGGAGGAAACTAGTGTAGTTGGGTCCTCAGTGACTTTTGTCTGGAATGGTATTTTTAAAGGGGTTATGCATGCTCAAAGGTACAAATATATCTATTCCTTTCCTCCCGCCTATTTAGGTGGGATCCAAGTGAATGAACTATCTTTTTTTTCCCCCTGAGCCTGTGTAGGTCTGTTTGTCTTGAAATTCTCTCAGAGACCAGGCTGGCCCTGAACTCTGACATCCACCTGCCTTTGCCTCCTGAGTGCTGGGATTAAAGGCGTGCACCACCACCACCTCAGCTACTCTTACTATTCTGTTACCAGATTGTTTCCTGTTACAGTAAGAGGAGAAGACAGGATAGAATTGAAAGTGCCAGTAAATTTTGCCCTACTCTACCCTGGGATCAGTCATGGGGTTTAGCTGGTTGATATGTTTCCTCTGCTGAGTTAATGGTTACTAATATGGCCGTCTGTTTTCTTTATTTAGGTTTCATGTCCTTAGCAAGCTCCTGAGTTTCATGGCACCTATTGACCACACTACAATGAATGATGATGCCAGGTGAGCAGTACATTACTTGTATGTCTCACGTGGCTTTGTGAGAACCTGATATTGACCAGTTCACTATCAGGCCTGTTGCCCTCCTGTTTTTTGTCAGTTGCTGGCATCACAGCAAGGTCTATGTCACATGTGTTACTCCCATGATTACTATGAAGTCCAACCATAGTTTCCATAAATCTCAACACTACCTCTGGTTGGTTTTCTCAGCATTAGGCTACCTGGCTGGGTCATTGGCAGAGTCAGGGTGCTATGTGTGCTATTTATTTATTTTAGAGTCTCACTATGTAGCCCAGGCTAGCCTAGAACTCACAGAAATCTGTAGGCTTCTGCCTCCCAAGTGCTGGAATTAAAGGGATGTGCCGTAATGCCTTGCTTCATTTTTTTTTTTTTTTTTTTTTTTTGAGACTCTCAACTGAAGCTAGACTGAAATTTTTTGTGTAGTTCAGACTGGCTTGAAACTCAGGATAATAGTCCTGCCTTATTCTCCCATGGGAGAGGTTTAGAGGTATTTGCCATCACAGACAGCTAATTTTTCTTAAAATAATAATCTTTGGGCTGGGTGTTGTACACTTTTAATGTCAGCACTCACAAGACAAAGACAGGCAGATCTCTTTGAGTTTGAGGCCAGCCTGGTCTACAAAGTGAGTTTCAAAACAGCCAGGGTTACATAGAGAAACCATGTCTCAAAAACTAAAAAAGAGGGGAAAAAAAAAAGAATAATTTCTTCTGCATACATCTTTACGCCTAGCATTTGGAAGGCGGTGACAAGTGGATCTCTATGAGTTCAGGCCTGGTCTGCATAGCAAGTTTTAGACCATCCAGGGCTGCATAGTGAGTTTCTATTGAAGGGGGAAGAAGAGGAGGAGGAATTATTCCTTCTCTATTAATCTTCATTCTACTCTAATGAAGAGATTTCCCTTTCTTGTATTTATTTACCATAGAATGATTCGTTTTTAGCAGCGTGGACACCTGCTTTCCTATCTTGATGAATCATTTATTTTGATGGAAGTTCCTTCAAGCTGGCTTGTATCCTTTCGGTGTGACCCTGACATTCTTTATTTTCTTATTCTTCAGCACGTTATACTTTATCTTTGTTTGGTGGTTTGCTTTTAGATAGGGTCGGTCTCACTGGATATCTCTGGTTGGCCTGGAACTTGGTTTAAACCAGACTGGCCTCCACCAGGTCTTTCAAAGCTTATCTTCTACAGTTCCTTATGCTTGCTCTGAAATTGTTCTTTCTTGAACAGAAAGCCCTTCCTTTTAGTGGTGTTTAGATCTGGGTGTACAAGAATGTTTTCTTATTTCTGTCTGTTATATGCAAGGACTTACTGTGTAGAACAGGGAGCGTGTGGACACACATAATATACATAGAGAGTAGCTACTTTTAACATCTCAGGTTTCTATTCAGGGTCTTTGTTTAGGAGTTTGTTTCAACTTGTTCTTGCTATTCTTTTTCATAGAATCAAATTATGTTCTGCTATAGGTATTTTTTATACTGTAAGCATTTTTATGTCATTAAAATGATTCTTAAAATTTAAATGATTCTTATATCATTTAGCTATTCACTGACTAGTAGAAACAGAATTGTATCACAGATAATGCTGTGGTAGTCTTTTGAGTGTAATCATTTGCCAAGTGAAGTCACTGGTTAACTGTTGGTTGGTGAGCCTTTGCCGGGTGTCCTTCAGTTCGCATGTAGCCTTTCAACTACCAAACTACCAAAGTAATCAGATCACTTTGCCTCTTGCCTGCAAACAGTGGATCTGTGGGTGTAGGCAGACACATTTGGCTGGTTTTCCTTCGGTTTGTTTGAATACAGAGCAGCTTGTGGATAATCTTACATACACTTGGGTCTGTTTTGTGACCACATTTTTCTCAGGTACTTTATAAGTGGCTGCTAAGTGTGGTTGCCTTTTTATTGGTTTTTAGATCTCGTCATTTAAAAGTTCCAAAGTAAAAGCTGAGTGTTGTGTATACCTATCATCCCAGCGCTTGAGAGGAGGTGGTGAAAGGATCAAGAATTCAGGGGTATTTGGGGACCAGTGGAGAGAGAGCTTGTCTAATACAAGGTGGACAGGGCTAGCAAGATGGTTTAGTGAGTAAAGGTTCTTGCTCCTACGAGTGATGATCCAAGTTTAATCTGTGGAACCCACATGTTAAAAGGAGAGAACAGAGTTCCCAAAGTCACCCTCTGACCTCACAAACATACTCATATACACCTATAATTCATAAGTATAAAAATTTCATAAAACCATGTGGAAGATGAGGACTGACGCCCAAGGTTGTCCTCTCACTTGGTGCTGTAACATACGTATACTTGCTCTCACAGACATAAGTTTTGTGTTCACAGATACACATCTGTGCACTCACATAAGAAAATGTTTAAGGAAAGAAAAATTGTATATGGGTTTGGAGATGTAGCTCAGCTGTACATCACTTGCCTAGGATGCCGGAGGATGTGGGTATGATCCCAGAACCACTAAAAAGAGGTAGAAGTAAGTGGTGAGAGAGGGGGAACAGTTATATATGTATTTAACATGCTTTCATGGTGGTAGCTCCCAACATTACAGTTTATGGTGATACCTAGTTCAACCAGACTTTGAGAGTGAGTAGAGCTGCTAATCTAGTGGTTGACAGAAGTTTAAGCAAATGCTGTATTGTTTTATTACGGGACTGTAGCCTCTGCAGATGTTGGGACTGGTGTGTTCCCCATGGGGTAGGGAGACAGTTGTCATTGCAGTGGTGGATTCTAGTGTCTTAGGGGGACGGGTGGAAGTTCTGGAGCCAGCCTATCATTATGTACTGAATGCCACTCTACTGTGGCATTCATCCGGTAGCATTCTGCTTTGCGTCTCATTTTTGTGCCACAATGGGCAACGTTCAGGGTTTTGAATGCTACTGTCTCCTTGCACTGCCTTTCATCAAGTGAACAGCTTAGGTTTTGCTAACTTACAGATAAGTTATTCAGATATATCTAAGTTATATATATATAACTTACAGATATTCATTCTTACTATGTGTGAGAGAGAACAGAGGTTTAAATTTTTGTTTTATTTTGTTTCTGATTTTGAGTTAGAAAGGGATCGTATAAGCATGATACAGGAACCAGAAATCACAAGAGGAAATATGTTCCACTGAGACCACATCAGAAACCAGGTTCATAGGCAAATGACAGACTAGAGCAAGTCAGTCTGATGGTGCTCTGCTGTTGAAGAGAGAATTCACAACTTCCTCACATCCCAGAAATAATGGGGAGCACGTGTCAGCATGAAGGCTAGAAAACCATACAGCAAAAATTTAAAGAAATACAAATTAAAATGAGATGACTTTTCTTTTGCTGGAAACATTAAAGGGGCTGGTAACGTGCAGTGATGGTGTAAGAAGTGAACTCTCATGTACTGTTTTGAATGTGTGACTAGCAGATCCTTTTGTAGCATTATCAGTGTGTGTGTGTGTGTGTGTGTGTGTGTGTTCGTTCTAGGATCTCTACTGTAACATTGTTTATAATGTTGGAAAACAAATAATCCAAATAACCATCAATAGGGAACTTGTTAAATAAAACTTTTGATTAAATTATAAGCAACTTTTGAGAAAGAAGTAGAGTTGGATAACATAAAGTTCAGTGGGAAAGATAGACTACAAAACACTTTTTGTATTATAATTTAATTTCTGGGCTAACAAGATAAACAAGTTGAGTCTCCATTATTCAAAATGTTCAGAACCAGAAGAGTCAGGAGTTTTTTATTTTGGAGCATATTTGCATAGACTTTATTGGATGCCTCCAGATGAGAAAATCTGAGATTAAAAAAGTGCCACACGGTCAAATATTTGAGCATTATGTTGGTACTCAAAAAGTTTCAGATTTCAGGGGCTGTGAGTCATCCTAATGGTATATCCCTTGCCTAGCATCCTTGAAGGTTCAGTTCCGAGCACTGTGAAAAAAGAACAAAGCACAGGTTTCAGATTTTTGTATCTGTGGTGCCCAACTTTATAAGATAGGAGGAAAATAAAGACCAAAATAGTTTTACTGTCATGTAAAGATATGTAAGACATTCTGTTATGAAAGAAATTTTGCTTGTAGCACGCATTATATTTTAAAATAAAAACTAAGGGGCGAGAGGGAGCAATAGCTCAGAAGTTAAGAGCACTTATTGCTCTTGTACAGAACCCAGGTTTAGCTTCCAGCACCCACACGGTGGTTGCAGCTATTTGTAACACCACTTCCAGGATATCCAAAGCCCTCTTTCTGAACTCCACAGGTACCAGGCATGCAGGGTAAACTTCCATATAGTGTATGTACATACATGCAGGCAAAACATGACATAAAATAAAATGAAGAAATTAAAATTTAAAAGTTAAAAAACATTAAACAGGCTGAAAAGAGTGGCTCAATGCTTCAGAGTACTGGCTGCTCTTCCAAAGGACCTGGGTTCGATTCCCAGCACCCACATGACAAATCACCATTGTCTGTAACTCCATTTCCAGGGGATCTGACACCCTCACACAGACATACATGCAGGCAAAACACCAAATGTACCAGTGCACACAAAATAAAAATATATTAAATTTAAAAAGCCATTAAACAGGCATGTAGTATCCTCGTGTATCTGTACTGGAGTGTGTGAAAGTGTAGGGAGTGTCTCAGTGATCACCAGTGGGGAAGTGAGCGGAGCCAGCAGTGCTGTAGTTTCCTTGCGGGCTATCCCTAACCTACTCTATGAGAAAACTCATACTTATTACAGGTAAGAAGCCTTTGATATTTATTGCTGGGGAGTGAGGTCAAGTAAAGAGATACTTTTACTGTATCGTGTCTGTAGTACTTGATACTTGTCTTGCTTTGTATCAACAACAAAAAGCTATTTTCAGTTTTGAAACAATGAAGGTCGTGGGAAGGTTGTGATATTCCTCTGTTGTTGTATGTAAAAGATGATCTCTCCCTGGTGGTTTCTGTGCAGAACTGACTTTGTGGCACGTAGCTGCTTCTCTTCAAGCTCCCTCTC